GCTTTCTTGTATGCAAAGAAAATAATTAAAAATGTTAAAAAAGAGATGTCAACACAAAATTACATAGCCCCTTCAATTCAGAAGATACTACAAACGAACTGTACCTTAACATTTTCATATCCCAGAAGCTAACGTTCCCATGACGAATATTGCTATCGCTAGCGATTGCAAAATCCAACTTGTTTTTTTTTTTTTTTAACTTTTTCTTTCCCTTTTCCCATGTTATTGAAGACCTCACCTTGAAATAACCATAGTTGGCTGTTCTTCGAAGCATTGTATCGATTTGACCGAAGGCTGAAGCAGCTGAGCTCCATGGCACGTATTCCGTTTCGTGGCTGAGATATCTACAGACAGAGAACGCAGTCTTGTATTCTAGGTCGCCCATCCAGGCCAAATCCATCGCGTCGGCGATCAGTTGCATTCGGTTCAGGGGGTGGATCTTCTTGAAGCTGCTCTCGTCGTTCAAAGCGCCTGCCAGCAGATTCCAGTTCTTCAGGTCGTAGTTTATCCTATACAAACCTGCAAAAACAAGATATCACAGTTTTATGGCGAGACCCTGAAAACACGTTTAATGGAACAACTGGACTACATTTTGCAATTTGGAACTATAAATTCTAGCCCGGTTTAAAAAGAACGTATGTACTATTAGTTTTCCTCTGCACATAAGTGTTTTTTCCAGAAGAACCAGGTTTTATAGTTCCAAATTGCAAAATGCAGTCCAACTGTAAAGCCTCACGGTTAAAAATGTTTGTGTTTATGGCTACTTTGGGTTACTTTGAGATCCCTAGCTTGCAATTGGACCGCGCTTAGCAAAAAGGAACCAAACCACATCAGCTATTGCCAAATTTAACCGGACGATTTAATGTTCAGGAAGAGGGCGTTTGTGCGGATTCCTTTGACAATTTTAATGAGGAATTTGCTTTGTACCAGGCAGAAAATTTACTGCAATTTGCGCAAAAATCCGCACAATCGTTTTCATGTAAAAAGTAAAATTGTACAGTTGAATTAGGCACTAGCTAATGTGACTTGGTTCTGTTCTGCTTAACGCGGTACAATCAGTTAGCTTAGTTTGAATCATAGTTCTTGTTTCTCCTATGCGGTTTTGTGCTTCGAAGTTTCTTACAATGTGGTTTACGCTGAGGATGGGGAAAAAGTCTCTGAAATGCATCCATACAATGTATTAAAGAGTGGAAAAACACTTCTAACCGTGGTCCCAATCAAATGTTTCTTTTTTAAATGTTGAAAAACCCACGCATTTCTCGACTCCGTACATACTTCGAGTTACTTTTTTTTTCGGAAAGGAACTCGGTTGATCGACCGAAATGGTTAAATCTACATTGACTTGACACATCTGACATCTGACATCTGACACCTGACCTGACACCTAATATCTCTGACATCTGACATCTGACATCTGACATCTGACATCTTGACACACATATTAAAATGGAAGAAAAATAGTGTTGCCAACTTTTAAGAATCACCACCAAGGTATCGCGACATGTATGTGGAAATTCACCGCACTGAGGCTCATACCTGAGACTTGGATGTTGAAAATGACCCATTGATCCTCGCTTGCTCCAAAAGTTGAGATATTCAGAGGCCCTTCACAAGTGAGCCATTTCTCCGGTTTGGTTTCGGAGAAATCAGCAATTTCCTGATATGTGTAGCTGAGAGGGACACGCCAGCATGCTTCCTGCAGGCCTTTCTCTTCCGCGGATGGCTCTATGCCCAGATAGCGGCGCTGAGGTAAAAAAATAATCGTACGTGGGGATCAGTGACGTGTTATAATGCTCCATTTATATATTTTAGGTCAAGATTTTGCACATTCTTTGCTAGAATATGTTTACGAAGGGAGGTTACGTATTAAAAAGTGTGCTATAATTGGATGGCAGTTAGCAAAAAGGAACTAGCGCGATTACAGTGTGTTCAAAATGTACCTTCTCATTTTCTTTTATGTATGTACAGTATTAACATTTACACAATTATTTTCCTTTAAAATTAACAATTTTTTGGTGAGATGCAAAAACCATTTGCTACTCTCGGAGAGTTTTTCGGTAATTATGAAGAAGTAACATTTTTAAAACACCGTAATTGCGCTGGTTGACATGTGTATCAGGCCATGCGAAACAACTATTCCGACTCTTGGGAGAGCACGTTGCATAGCCTTTGAAATGAAGGAGAAAAATTAATTGTATCACGTGGAAACAGCTTTTCAATAATTGATATCATGTGTTACTGTATTGAGATACGTTTTCGGTGTAGCATTCAGAGAAGAGATTTTTTGACTTGTCTATTACTTTTATAAAAATCACTGTAAATGTATGCAAAAACTATGTCAAACACGTGCTTTACAAACAACGGGGCGTAACGGTTAAAACATTAAATCACTCTGAATAATTTGAATTCATATATTGGCTGCCTTTCTGGGCCCTGAAAGCTCCATAACATAACATAACATCAAAATGGGTCAGTTGCGCTAGATACAGAATCGGAGTTTGATGCTCGATTCTTTTAGATTATCTAAAACTAATAAGATCTGTCCAAACAGCAACTTTCTTCGTTCAATATTAGCCGAAATATCACCCTTTGAAAAGTCGAGTTTCTAACGTCATCCACCACGGTAATGACATTCTTGGTTTCTTCCACCTGACTTTCATCCCAGTTTTACGTTGAACAACTAGTGCAAATGTGCGTCACACCGACTGTTAAAAGCAAGGTGGAAGAAACCAAGGGTGTCACTATCGCGGTGCGGATGACGTCAAAACTTGTCTTTTCAAGGGGCGATATCTTGGTTAATATTGGACGTAGAAAGTTGCTGTTTAGATGGAGCTTATTATTTTTAGTTGGTCTACAAGAATCAAGCACCAGAACACGATTTTGTGACCAGTGGAGCTGACTCATCGCCATGAAATTTCCTTATTTTTCTGTGTTACAACAATATTTGGAGCCTCTTTGCTCTTCGTGATATACCTACTATTTCAGTATTTAAGTAGGTAAAATTGCATCTCCACGAAATGGAGGAGAACGTAAACTATTTTCGGCTGACTCAGAGACTTCAACACATGGTAGAAAAGTTGGATGGCGTGATGCGCGTGGTACAACTATTTCAACTTTCAAGTAGGTAAAATTGCATATTTACGAAATGAAGGAGAACGTGAACTCTTTTCGGCTGACTCAGAGACTTTAACACATGGTAGAAAAGTTGGATGGGGTGATGCGCGTGATACAACTATTTCAACTTTCAAGTAGGTAAAATAGCATATTTACGAAATGAAGGAGAGCGTGAACTCTTCTCGGCTAACTGACCCAACCGACATGTCCGTATTCTCCCTATATAGGTGCTCTACTAGAAACTGGTGGAAAAAAATTGATGAAATTGATCCTACAACTTCCAGCACCTAAACTCACCTGTGATACTGAGATGTCTCCTGTCCCATAATTTCTGACAACGGAGAGCACCGGATATCCGGTTTGAACGGTCCACGTGTCCATGATCATCTTCACCGTGACGTCCGGGTCTAGAACACCCCTTTCGTGGGCGATTTCAGTCAGAGCTGCCCACAAGTCGTCTTGCCTCGCGTTACCGAACTTGTGTTTCGAGAGGTAAAGAGTCACACCGGCCCGGAATACGTCTTCACCCAAAAACTGATTCATCATACGAATGATGCACGAACCTAGGTGTTGAAGGACAGAAATTAGAGGAATTTAGAAAGACAAGAGGACTTTAGCGTCTCATGCATGATACTTATTTTTTATTTTTGGCGGGAAATATAAAGAAGAGTATGGATTCGATCGACATGAATTAATCAAAAGATAAAAACGTGAATAGATTGACCTGGACCGATCGATTGATGAACCCACGAGTCGATTGAAAACTCCGTGAACCGATCGACAAACCTGTGAATCGATTGAATCATGTCAATCGGTTCACGTTTCTATCATTCGATTGATTCATTCCGATCGAATTGACACCAGTTTTTTAAAAAATTGTCGATCGAATCGGTGTCAATCGAATCAATGCCCTCCCAATAGAAAGTATTTTACGGTAAATTAAACGTGGACAACTATTAAATTGCCTGCATTCTTGATGATGAAATAGTTGAAAATATGTTTAGCTATAATAAATACTCATTGAATCCTTAAATATGTATAGGTTCTCACATAAAAAAAAACACAAAATGGGTCAAAACTATTATGCTCCACAAATCAAGTTTTATGAGACAGTTATTGAATTCAAATGCTCTATCTTTTTAGGGTGATATGGTTCATGCATAACTCTATGTAAGATTTGTGCAAAATTGAGTACTACTAAAACCATGCCATCACTTAATTCTCAGGCCAACGTCACTTGCAAAGCATATCAGATTATGCATATTTCTATGTCTCTTATTCCACCGGCACCAAAAAATGTGTTATTAGTCATAAAAGGTATTTATTTTAGGATCAAATTAGAGATTAGACCCCACCAAATTCCAGCATCATTCAAGTCAGAAGATTATCTAGTGCAGCCAAGCTTCCTTGAGCCAAGAAAAATGGATCTGAAACTGATACATCCGTCCCAGGCTAAGAGTAAAATCAGGAATTTTTGCAATGCATTGCCCAGGTAAACAGTCAAGTATACTATCTGAAAGTTCAATTCTATTTTTTATTCTTTCTTTATTTCTGAACAAAACTCTATCCCAACAGGTCCTTAAAATTTCTCATGAAATAGTCAATCACTTCTCAGAATTTTTTATCTCTAACTCAAAATATCTTGACTTTTCAAAAAATACAGATTATTTTGGAATTAGACGGGGAAAATTTAGGTGAAAAATATTAAAAGGTGAACATCGAGAAAAACTGTTATTTTTATCATTTTCTATTTTCAAACAGACGAGAAACTCTAAATATTGACGTAGTTGTCCTATGGAAGAAGACAACTATCACTAAAAATGTGGTGCGAGCTGCAAAAGTTACACCACACTATTCTACGGGGAAAAACTTCCCAAAATGTCATTAGATTGTTTGATTTCATTTCAGTCTTGCAATAATACATACGAAAGTTCAAATTCTTGAATCTGATACTTTTTTTTTGCTTTGATTTTCCCTCGAAATAATGTGGTTCTAGTACTATTCTACCATCTTATGACTTTTAAGTTTACACCAGGAAAATTTAAAACATTAGATAGCATTCAAAATTTGTCTTTTCGCCTAGAAATTGAAAGAATTCCAATTTGACTTTTAGCCTGCACCATGAACAAACATTGAACATGCATTAAGACATGACGTTCACGGAAAAAAGAGGAAGGGGTTGTTGGATGATACGGTCATTTCCAATTAATAGTGGTAATCCCCCAATTAATTGCGGCAGTCCCCCATTCAATGGGAGATGCCCATATCATTCAACAAATTGGGTTAGACAGTTTTAGAGGTTAACCCCTCACCCTCTTTTTCGTGTTTCTCCGCTCCTGGGACAACATATATATTAACGAAGAGGATAAAAACCTTTCTCGTAAGAGATGTTGTCGAAGATTTGAGCAATTTCATTCGGGTGTCCAATTGGGACGGAGACAGGGTGCGAGGATTGAAGAGAATCAAGACGGAACACCGCCAACATGTTTTCGGTCACCTCGTGCACTAACGAATTCCACTCTGGGTTCAGCTGTAAATCAACAAGGCGTCTCAATTCCTGCATACGTCACTTCGGTACTACATTCAACTCTCTTCGGACATGAAATCAGAGGCCCAGAATGGAACGTGGGAGTCAGTGGCGTGGCGTGAATTACGATTTATCGATTGTTATGCCATTTAAACCTAAGAAAAGGATCGATAAATAGGGTGTTCGCAGCGAACACCTTAATAATCGATTCTTTACCATAGGTTTAAATGGCATAACAATCGATGTATCGCAATTCACGCCACGCCACTGGTGGGAGTCTGTGCATGCGTTTGAGTTAACGTGACTGGAGGAAAGCTAGTCGTGATTTTGCAGATGTATTCGGTACGGTAAAATCAAGGTGGCTTTGTATCAGAAGTAAGTAAAGATCGAGATATCGAACGAATTCTGCTGTAGATTGCAGGTTTTACTCTAAATTGTTCACTGGAAAAAAAGTCTTGACTCAATAGGATTTTTGCTTGAATCGAGAGTCAAGCCTCTCAATTTGAGCGGATTTCCTTTAGATCCAAGCAAAAATCCGATTGAATCAAGATTATTTTTTCTTGTCTAATATTTTGAGAGTATGGAATCTGGATAAAAGAGACTTTTTTTCCAGTGTTGGTTGAAAATACAGGCATAATTCAGCTGTTATTTCCAAACAATCTCGTAATTTTATTGGCAAAACCCATTAGAAAGTGAAGAGTACCCGAACGCAATAACTTCTTCCCCGTTCCGACTCTTGAAGCTGTGTTTTAGGGTTTACAAAATATACTTTTTAGGAAGAAACAGCTAAATGTCGGCATGAGGCGTATTGGATCTATGTTTCTTCGCAAAACAATTAAAGCGAAATCAGTACGTGTTTCAGCAAAATTTGTTTGATAAATTAATGTTTTTTTACTTCTAGTGTATAGGTGCATCATGAATGGGCGAAAGGATAGAGAAGAGAAACCGAACCAAAAAGAAGCCTAAATCATTGTTAGTGAAAATTTTACATTGTGGCCACCTTTTTGCGCTTTGGTGATTGTAGGGTGGCGACGTTGTTTGTGCGTAGCGTGTTTTCGTCGGTCGAGAATATTTCAATCACAACAAAATATTATGTCTCGTGGGCATGCAATTTGTTTCAAATGTATAAACCGTGCAGAAATTAAAGTTTGTATCAGTTCCGTCAACCGAAATTAAAGTTAGTAAAAGTAAGGAGGTCGGAAGTTGTCTACGCGCGTGTCTTTAGGTCAATTTTTAAAAGCCTCGTCAGAGTTGTGCAAATAGCGTCAATAAGTTAGTGCGATCTCCATTCAATTTGCTGAGCGGAGAGACGGTACCTTTCCTGTAGGATATCGTATCGAATATTTGAGCTATCTCTTTTGGGTTTCCGATGGGCACGCTCACTGGATGAGAGGATTTCAAAGCATCCAGAGCGAAAACGGTATTTAAGTTGTTAACAGTGTCGTGTTGTAGACTGTTCCATTCTGGGAAAAGCTGCAATTTTAAATACATAAATGCATATGGAATTATGGTTAAATCACTAAGGTGTTCAGACCAAGATTTTGACGGATGAGAGGACAGAAAATATTTTTTTTCTTTAAAATTTTCCTCCCTTTTTTCATTCGTGTTTTATTGCCTACCCCAAAGGTGCCAAAATTCTTCCTTTTTGTTAGATTGAATTTAATGGATTGCATTTTGCAAAAAGGAACCAGGAGCATTGCAATGTTGCTAAGATTGTGGAACTTCTTTTGGAAGAAAAACCTAATTATCCATTAACAGTTTCTATTTTACTCGCTAAAAACTTTAAATTTAAGACCAAAATTACCCTGTAAATCTTATATTTTTTCATAATTTCAGTAATTTAATTGCAAATGATAAAGTTGCACAATCGCAGCATCATCAGAATGCTTCTGGCTCCTTTTTGCATAATGCAATCAAAATACTACGCGCAAATGTGGGTTGATTTCAAAGTGGAAGTTTTAAGACAATTGTTTTAATTTCCCTACTAAAAACGATCCAGTTGGTATCATGTTGGCCCGTCCCAACATAGTAAGCGAGTCGAGGAGTGAAACATGGTATCATGTTGATATCAATCCGGTTCCAAAAATGAACAGCGAGGCATCATGTTGACATCAAAATGTGCCCAGCGTGATAGCATGTTGATGGTAAACATGGTATCACGTTGGTATCATGTTGATACCAATATGGCATCATCTTGGTTAATAACGTGAGCAACTTGATACCAACTTGGTTTTTGGGTCATGTTAGAGGAAAATTAGAGTTAATACCATATTGATATCGTGTTAATACCGGCTGGGTCCGTTTTCGGATCTGGTATCAATATGGTATCAGCGTGATTGTTTTTAGCTGGGTATTCACTTTCTCTAATAGAATTAGCTAAAATAAATGTTTTTTCAATGCTAAAGATTCGGTTTATGACGTCGTCCACCGCGGTATACTGACAACCTTGGTTTCTTTCACCTTGTTTTCTTCCAAGTTTCATGTTGGGTAACTAGTGCAAATGTGTGTCTCACTGGCGATTGATGAAAGCAAGGTCGAAGAAGCTGAGGTTGGCACTATACCGCTGTGGATGACGTCATAGACCGAATTTTTCAAAGCGCGATATCTCGGTCAATATTAAATGTAGGAAGTTGCTGTTTTGACGGATCTTATTATTTGTTGCTCCGGCAAATGTGGAATTTTCGGTGGATGCAACATTGTGGCAACTTACATGGTGGAGACCGATGGTAGCAACGTATGTGGCGAACCCCTCGTTGAGCCAGAGGTCGGTCCACCACTCCATGGTGACCAAGTTTCCGAACCACTGGTGAGCCAACTCGTGAGCGATAACCGAGGCGATTCTTTCCTGGTTCAAAGATGACGAAGCCTTGGGGTCGAACAGGAGAAGCACTTCCCTGCAATTATCCCAACCAAATACCGGACGATTAATAATGATAATTGGAGTCGTTCGCCATTGTCGTGATAATTGCCGATACAATGGCTTCCAGTTTTGATTATCATGTAACAGTGAACCTGTTGCAAACTTTTGCTAGAGCAAAATTAAGAGTTGTATCTTATAAGAAATGTCTCAAAAATCACGACGAGCGAATTGGCTAAGTCTGAAATGCACTCCTAACTTCACGATTTACGTGAAAAATGTGTATGCGTTTTTTAAGCCTCATGCCTCAAAAACGATACTACGACACAGGTGAACATTTTTTAAGAGGAGCAGCTCTTTTTAACTTAGAGACTTTAACGCACGTTAAGAAAAATTAACCATTGTAATGGAATTTTGGTGGCCGGGTTTTTATCACTGTATAGACAATGCTTTTTTGACGAAATCCCCCAGAAGAGGTCAGTTAGGTTAGCAGAATAACGAAAGAAAAAGGAAAGAAAAAGGTAACATACGGTTGAAAACAAATGAAATTATACATTAAGAAAGTTATTTAATTGCTCGTTTACTTAAGGTAGTTCTTACTTACTCCTCTGCCTGCGCAAACCTAATCGGGGGTGACTGAGAACAACGAGCGCAGACGTGGGAAACTTGAAGAGGCGTGTTACAAAATACGCAAATTGCACGCTGAGGAGCACCTTTAAGACTATTTTGATATACTCAACGTGACTTTTGAGTGAAGTTACTCTTAAAAAGTGTATTCAGTTATGGCTGTTTCAATGAAAACACATTAAAATACAAAAACAAATGTGTATACAAGGCTAAGGAGAAATAAACAAACCAGGACGTTTCGGGCCAATTACATGCCCATTCTCAACTGGAAAAAAATCTAAAAAATGTAAAAATTGAAACAAGAAAATGAGCATGCAACTGATCGAGGTAGAAATCAGTGCGAACCCCAGTGGAGGAGTTTGCACCGCACACCTCGGTCAGTTGCATGCTCATTCTCTTGTTTTAATTTTTAGATTTTTTAGCTTTTTTCCAGTTGAGAATGGGCATGTAATTGGTCCGAAACGTCCTGGTTTGTTTTATTTCTCCTCAGCCTTGTATTACCATTTGTTTTTGTATTTTAATGTGTTTTTATTTTTGTGTGCATTTGGGATATTGTGTCTCATCTCTCTCTTACTGTTGGCTATATCTCTTGCTTGCAACATACCCATTAATTGAAAACTCCTTACCTGTAAGCCTATTATCAGGGAGGTGATAGTGCCCCTCTGTCCATCTTTGCTCTGTTTTTCAGTTTGCATTGATTCCTACCTCGGTCAGTTGTATGCTCATTTTCTTGTTTTAATTTTTACATTTTTTAGCTTTTGTTCCAGTTGAGAATGGGCATGTAATTGGCCCGAAACGTCCTGGTTGTTTATGTATCCTCTAGCCTTGTATACCTATTTGTTTTTTGTATTTTAGTGTGTTTTTATTGTTGTCTTACCTGTAAGTGATGAGCCCCCAGTTCTCCATGGCGCCGGCGCTGAAGTCGGGGATGGCTGCCATGTCCTGCTTGGGGAGCGGGTACTTGGTGTCGAAGTATTCCTCGTAGTAGGAGAGCACCTTGGGTCCGAACTGGTTGGCGAAGTCGGTCTGGTTGACGGCCTCCTCGCGGGCCCACACGCGGAACGTCACGCCGCCCTCCGTCATCGTCGCTTCCTTGTGAGTGAAGTCGGAAACCATCCAGGCAACCAGGTACGTGGACATGGGGACGGATTTCTGGAATTTGTCTTGCACCCAGCCCGGCTTGTTTGGCCTGAAAAATTAGGATTCAGTCTTAAAGTGAAGCATTGTCGAGAACGATTCGGTTGTCAATCAAGCAATGAAAGTGTTCAGAAACTTTTAATGGATCAGTTACCCAGGACCGAATTAAGGGGGTGGCCACATGGGCCGCGGCCCATGGCGGCAAATTTAGCAATTTTTTTTAAATGTAGGTGTAAAAAAGATCGGATTCAGAAAAATAATTATCAATGAGAAAAGGGGACAAAATCTCTCTTGCCTGAAAGTATAGTGATTTTTAATTTTGTCGTTTTTCGGTGATACAAGAGACAACATCTTTAATTGGTCGAGTTAAGAGAGGAACTAAACACGTAATTTGGCCTAGAGCTCAGCGCAGAGAGGAATGATGACGAGGACTTGAGATGAAAAGGACGAGCCCCCGGCGTGGCGGTCGGCATGTAACACATATTAGCGCCTCCAAGACTGCATGAATACTTCACCCATTGCGCCAAACACAGTGCGGTCAGGAGCGGTCGGCGTGAAACGCATAGCGCCTACAAGACTGCAGGAATACTTCACGCATTCCGCCAAACACAGTGCGGTCAGCGTGAAACGCATAGCGCCTACAAGACTGTGTGAATACTTCATGCATTGCCAATTTGTTAAAATCATTAAACCAAATTTTGTGTTTGTTCTTTCATAATTTTTTCGTTCATTTCTTATGAATGGAAGGCCTTGTCCATTAGAGATAGGTTTACGGAACTTAACTTTCGCGTCAAGTTCCGTGAAATTTTGATAGTAGTGTTGACAGGGCTTTCGCAAAGAATTTATCCAACACGGTATCCACGGCATCCACACGATAGGTAAACGCGTCTTATGTACCCCTCCCCTCCTCCGGCACGTTCACTTGACGGCACGTCCGAATAGTCGTGCAGAATCCTTTGCTTTGGAACATTCATGAAGAATATTACCTCGCATTTAGGCGGGAAAACTTGTATGGAAACTCTTAGCAGTATTAATTTGTGAATGTTTTTTCAAATGTATTGTATCTTGGTGGATCCTGACTTATCCTCAAAGAAAACACGGAAAGGATGCAGGTTTATTTCATCCGTTTACGTGGCTTGCGTTGTTGTGAGCTACGCCAGACTGTTGCTACCGGTCGAAAACGCCTTCAGATTCGCACGATACTTCACCACTCACACCAGAGTTAAAATATTTGTATCATAACTAGTCATGCAGAATAATCCTTCGCTCTTCGAACATTCATGAAGTATATTGTCTGGTATTTAGGCGGGAAAATCTATGGAAACTGTTGGCATAAATCTGCACGTTTCTTTTGATTTCAGACGTTGCTTAGTAGTATTTGGGTACTGTCAAAATAATCACTTCATTAGGATTTTTACAAGAGGGCAAATTTCGGTAAATGGTTCTGTTGCGTTGGTCACGGGCAGAGGCGGATCCAGCAACTTGGCAACATTGTTTTTCTCCTTTTAAACCTATGGAAATGTATCGATTTTCGGAGGGGCCAGGTGCTCCGGCATGAATCGATTATTTAACATAGGTTTAATAGGAGGAAACCCGGCGTTGCCAAATTGCTAGATCCGCCAATGGTCACGGGATCCTGTCTTGCTGCTTGTAGATTAGCTAAAACTAATAAGATTCATCCAAGCAGCAACTTCCTACGCTCAGAATAAACCAAGATATCCCGCTTTGAAAAATTCGGTTTATGACGCCATCCACCGCGGTAGTGACATCCTTAGTTTCATCCATCGTGCTTTCACCAAGTTTCACCAAGTTTCAGTGTTCAGAGCAGATGCGTATCACACTGACTGATGACAGCAAGATGGAAGAAATCAAGGTGTAAAGACCTCGGTGGATGACGTCTTCTACAGATTTTTTCAAAGCGCCGTATCTCTGTTAATACTGCAGCGTATGGAAGACGAATGCTCCGTCGTGCATGCTTTGTTGCTTCTTTTACATTTGAAGGCGTTTCTAAGAGCTGATACTACAAGCTTTTCCCCTTCATTCAAGCTATATTTAATGCGCTTGCAAATGTAAGTACATGCGATTTATTTGAGTTTTTCATAAAAACTATATGTTGAAGGTTGCGAACTCGTTTCATATCTCAAATTGAAGACAGGAGTATTGTAATTAAAGTAATTTTGAAGGAGAAGCGACAGGGAACCGTCGCACAGTGGATCGAGTCAATTAGAGATGTCAGACATGAAATTTTTGACTAAAACTGCAAATTTTGATGTTCCATTCGTCACATTTTAAATTTTGAGGGGTGGTTCCAGAAGAAAATTTCACGAAAAAACCAATGGAACCATTTTTAAAATTTCCAAGCTTTAATGTAACGGAGTTATAGGCTTTTAAAGCTTCCAAATTTTGTCCAACCTCTCCCATTGACTGGATCCACTGTGTGTCGTTCAGTCTGCGAAGCATGAATTACAGTGGCGAGGCATGGATGATCGACTATCGATATTTCCTTATTTGAAGCTATGGTAAAGAGTCGATTATTAAGGTGTTCGTTACGAACCTCCTGTTTATCGATCCTTTTTCATACACTGGAAAAAAAAAAACATTGTATCTAGAGTCCAGACTCTTGAAAACATGAACAAGAAAAAGGACTCTTGATTCAATCAGATTTAAGCTTAAATCAAAAAGAAATCCGCTCAAATTAAGAGGATTGGTTCTTGATTTAATCTTAAATCTGATTGAACCAAGAGTATTTTTTCTTGTCGATGTTTTTAAGAGTCTGGACGCTAGATCCAATGTGTTTTTTCCCAGTGTAGGTTTAAATGGCAAATCAATCGATTTATCGCGAAGCACGCCACGCCCCTGATAAATTAACATTTTTAGCGCTGAATATACAGCTACGTAATTTTGGTAGCCAGGAGCCAGATTGCTCTGATATGACCACTTAGTGTGAGGAAATAAACCAATTTATTGGAAATAATGGAAAAAAATAAAATTCTGTAGAAAGTTACTCACATGGGAATTGTCTCTTCAAGCGGCATGTTACTGAGTGATGTGTATTTCTCCGGATGTCCGATGGTTATTGTGAATGTCGCTTTCATTTTGGGCTCATCAAAACAGGGGAACGCCTTTCTGGCATCTGTAGACTCGAATTGTGTCACACCAAGCCACCTGAGGAAAATCGATAAAATGTTAAATGTTATGTATTTACGAGCTTGTTTACAATTTTATAAATATTTTGTAAGGAGAGTCGTAGGCCGGGGTCATTTAACTGTGTTTCGACTCTTGGACCTCGAACGTGAGAGAAAGTTGTTTATCGAAACGATATTTATCTATTACACTTGTTAGTGACAGTGACAGTCCATCTTCTAGAGGCAACACTGATCACTTTGACGGCACTTTATGGAACATCGGACACATTTCAAGAGATACACTGCTTACAGACATATAATTGCACATGCGACATAAATACATATTTTTTACAAAAAGTTATTGTTCATTTATGGATATGCTTATTGCATATTTTGCGCTTGCCTCGAAGTCACATGTTGAACCATGCATGTGTTGTTGCTTGCTTTGTAACTGAAGGCGATTTTAGGTTTTGGTACTAAATCATGGCTGAACTAATCATACTTCAAGATGGCAACGGTTACACGGTGCATTTGTAGATCTAGGAGTGTGTGACGTTTTGAAACTTTTTCCACAAGATCTATGATAGAAGCCTCATACTTGTTTAAATTCCTAACTTGTTAAAGCTAATTGTTAAGCTTCATTGGAGGAAATTTGGCAGCTTTTAAATGTTTATACGGCGTTTTCCACTGGAAAAAACACATTGGATCTAGAGTCCAAACTCTTGAAAACATCGACAAGAAAAAGTACTCTTATTGATTCAATCAGAATCTAGCTTAAATCAAGAACCAAGCATCTTAATTTAAGCGGATTTCGTTTTGATTCAAGCAAAAATCCTATTGAATCAAGAGTATTTTTTCTTGTCAATGTTTTCAAGAGTTTGGACTCTAGATCCAATGTGTTTTTTTTCCAGTGTCCCTTAGCACTGCAGTGCTGTTCCCAGTCGGTCATCGTGCGTAGTCTGGCAGCATAGGAATAATATCAGATGTGAAAGTTGATGGGGTCTGGCGGGTGGCGCGACGAGACCCGACGCGACGCGCCGCTGGACGGTGACAGAGGGTCGTGGATCAATGGATCCGATTAATGATGCGAGCCATCAGTGATCATTGATCGACAAGCGTATTGTTTAATGTATCGGCGCGCGCCTTGACACCAATGTCCCGGCCAGCAGCGTGAGCCCTCACGGCTTGTAAACCAGTCCCCGACAAAATGTTCGCGATGCCTCCAGCGTTCAAATTACCGGCCCTGGCTCATCCTTAGTAAGAGTAAAAGCACGCTTCTCGTGATAGTAGCGACATAAGTTGAATACATTTGCAGTGAGGAAAAAAGACAAAAATCGGAATTTTTTTTAGAAAAAATTGAATAAATTAGAAAAACAGAAAACCATAAAAGAAATTTAAAAATAAGAAAAATTAAAAATATAAAAAAATAAAGAAGCTAAGAAAAAATCAAAACATAAACACGGAGAGGGATTAAAAAAAGTTAAAAAGAAGAAAAAAATAGAAAAATTAAAAAAACAGAAAAAAATAAAAAAGAATAAAAGAGAAAAAATAGAAAAAAATGAAAAATGGAATAAGTTTAAAAAATTGACAAAAATAAAAACATTATAAAAAATAAAATAATAGAAGATTAAAACAAGCAGTGAACTCCAACACAATGTGTTGATAAGGCGCGTCATTAACTCGCACATATCAACCCCTTTAGTTTTCATTTACAGAGATTTCAAAATAGGCAAACAGCATAAAAAGAGAATTCACGATCCAACACTGCGAGGTCAAAGACGCACCTTGACGAGACCGTGTATTGTGAAAGTAGAAAGCTATTCGATCGAATTTAAGTTTTTTGATCTGCCTCAAGCAAAATCTTATCAGATTCTTGAAGAAAAGTGCTACGGAATAATTTAAGCGAAGAAAGGAAAAATTCTGTCGAACTCCTAGAAGATAAAGTCGATTTAAAGGTATTTTGGGGCTAAAATACCCAAATCACCGGTAGTAAAAATCCCGTTATATTATTGAAAAGAAATTGACTCGATATAAATGCAATTGCATTAAATACGTCTTGATTTTGTTATTTTAAACGTCTTTCCATGCAAAGAAGTTCAACCATGTCGTTGCTTTATTCATTCATGAATTGAAAGTAAGCAATCTACATCCCGAAAATCTACTGATTTGCCGTAAAAAATTGCAGAAACTTGATATACCAGGTCGATGCACCCACTCGTTGAATTTACCAACCAATTTTGTGAGTGCAAATGTGTAAGAATCAATATGCTATAGTCATTTTGGGTGCATTTATTTTTCATGAAACAATAATAATTTCAATCCCGAAAAACCATCAATTTTCCGTATAAAATCGAAAAAATCAAAATATGTCAACTCCCCGACGTGAAAATTAGATTCTACGTATGTAAAATGTAAATACTTATGTATCGATATGCTGAACAGAACTATGTGTGGACAGTCAGAAGCCCGCGGCAACATTAATTCAACAGAAAAACTGTAAAAATTAGATAGGATTTTAGCCGCTTTGCCCGCCTCTCCTCGCTACTTACAACAAACCGTTCTTATACTCATCTCAAAATTTTTCTCAGAGCTTTGGGTTATTATCAGCTTCCATTTAAACTCCGGTTCGATGGCCGAATCGGCTGCCAAAAAAGCAAGCCACTGTTGAGGGGTTCTATGAGAAATTCGTGATATTATCGGCTCTCAGGAAATCACCCCATGGCTAAAATTGGTGGTATAAATGTTTAAGTGCTTAAAATAATCGTATTCAAGAAACTAAGGAATTAAACTATGGAGTCAATTTCTTTTTAATAATATAACGAATTTACTACCGGTGATTTAGCTATTATAGCCCCAGAATACTTTTAAAGCGCCTTTGCGTTCCAGAATCTCGACGGAATTTTTTTTTTTTTTTTTTTTGCTTAAACGATTCAAGAAACATTGTAGTTAAAAATATAAAGATTTTTCGATTTGGACGTATGAAAAATGTTTAACTCGTTCAGGCACACCGTGTATTGTATGGAGTACTGCTGTTATTCGACCGTTGTCTTCAGGTCAAAATTCTTACAAAGAAGCCCCTTGCAAGAGGCAAATTTTTTGTAATTTCTCCCAGTTTTTTCAGCGTTAGGTATATAAATGAATTGTTTGTCAAATTTTGAGGTCAATTATATTTAATTGTAATTTATACTTTCTTTTTTTCCCCTTCATTTTATTTTTCGTATCGAGGAGTCGAGGTTTTGTTGATTTCTTCGGATTTCGATTACTGTAACTTCTCTTCTATTCGGCCGATTTTTATGAATGAGGTCTCTTTTTATTTGTGTTTTAACGGAGAGTAAGGAAAAAATTGCTAAATACATGCGAAACAATTTTTTTTGAAAATTGGATGAATCCTAGCGTGACGGTGAAATGGTTAATGAAGCGTGAGTAATTGGGGTACGGGTATCGGCCGCGTTGGGACCCAAGGCCCATTGTTCTTCGTGACGCCGACGCAGTGATCAGGAGCGTGGGGACGAGAGGGCTTAGTGGACTCCTGTATGAGCCACGTTTAGCAAATGGTCTAATGAGTCTCGAGGCTCATCACAGATTGCACTTACCACTATCCTGGTGGCCCCGGCTATCAGAGCAAGGAGTACCAACTTTTGAAAAGGATAACAGTGTTGTGGAGATATGTCAAAGCAACGTTGTGAACAAAACGGAGTGAGTGAAATTCTCATTCAAGGAGTGCCGAACTGGTCAGCCATCCTCGAATCAGTTCGCTTGCTTCCGCTTATATATGCATATTTTAAATCAGCGCGCCCCATTCTAAGGTTTTTTTAAAAAAAACCAAGAAACGTAGACTCTTGGTATTCATTACACATAAACTAGCGAGCCCCAGAATGAGAAACAAATTTTAATCATTATTATTGACGGATTAGTAAACTTTTTACACGCTTTGGAAAATCTCAGAAGTTCGCGGTAGTCACTTTTCGGTAAGGAACTAGGGGACTCGGTTATTGTATCGAGGGGGGGGTCGAAACGATCGCAAAGGCGGTATACTACGTATACGCGCCAAAATTAGACAAAAATACAAAAAATCAATAAATTGTAAAATCTCTCCGTTTATTATATGGCTGCGGAACCGAAACTTTTGTCGGGATACAGGGTGTAGCAGGGTCAGACCGTCATAGCGCAGGAGCGTGTGTTCTACGGGTAAAAATAAGACTTTTTTTCCTAAAAAGTTTTACTCAAAAATGTTTCCAGTTGAGGCCACGCTTCTCTCTCACCCTCTCCCCAAATATTCAAGAAATTCGTCCTTGTTACGAAACATTGGCATCTAGGGACTAAAACTCATGAAGAACGACCAAGGACTAATGGAAAATGACGACTCCCTGTGAATTTTACCGCTGAATCCATCGATGGTCTTACAAATATTGAGCACTAAAGTCCAGAGGATTCTAAAGCAGGGGCGGACTGGGTACAGAATCGTTGGTTGGGCGAAGCTGGCACAGGGGCCCCAGGGGGGGTCTGGGGGGACACCCCCAGCGCAGAGGGGGGTCCGGGGGGCCTCCCCCGGAAAATTTTTCAAAAAGAGCCCCTCCTAGATCAAATTTTAGGCGGTCGTAGCTTAAAATTTGTGAAAAATTTGAGTGTTCAAAAGTGATGCACTTCACCTATTTACTGTACTTTTTTTTTAAACTGAAGCAAATATTAAGGAATACTATAACAAAGATGAGAGGACAGAGCCATGAAACCTGAAACTTAACAATATTTTAGGGTAACAAACAAGCAACTTTCCTCCCCCCCCCCCAAATTTTAGAAATTTGTAATCTAATTGGTCGCATTTTGAGGCAGATTTTCCATCAATATCTCCAGAAATATTACGTTTCCGTTTTGACTTTCAGCAAAAATGTATGTATACACTCAAGAGGATCCTGAAAATTTTTGAAATTTTAACTCTACTTGGACACATTTCGATTCTTCCATGACACAGATTTTCCATCCATGTCTACTGAAAAATTACGTTTCCTTTTGGAACTTTCAGCAAAAAATGCATAAATGCACTTAAAAAGATCCTGAAAATTTTTGAAATTTTAACTCTATTAGGACGCATTTCGAGGCTTCCGTGAGGCAAATTTTCCATCAATTTCTGCCGGAAAATTACAATTTATTATACTTATACACGAAATACTTTCAAATTGTTACATTCAACAAAGCTGGAAAATTTTTGAAATTTCAACTCTATTTGGACGCATTTAGAGGCTTTTCTGACGAAAGTTTTAGAAATTAACACGGTGTTTTCATTTGAAACTATACATTAAAAGAGATAAATATCTTCGACGGTCTCAAACTTCTTCTTTTCTCGCACTTTCTCATCTTCTGTCTCCTCTTTCCTTCTCTCTTTTCCTCCCTTTTTTTTTGCTTTCGGAGGGCGTTTGAGCCCCCGAAGCCCTCCCCCTCCCCGTCTACGGGCCTGGCGACCGCAGCCTGATTTTGTCTAATTGCAAGTCACTAGATAACCATCTGGACGGCCCCCTCCTCATATTCCTCTTTCTCTATTCTCCAGAGCTCCCTTAATTTGATTCAATCCATCCGTGGTTTTTGGAGAGATTTTCTCGATCCTTCATAGTATTTTATATTCATCGGGATCCTCAAAATTCTAAGCCGGTTTAAGAAGCTAAAAACTATAGTCTTCGAAATGCGGGCCCCTAATTTATATCACTGGGGCCCCTTGAAGAAACGAATGTTTCAAATGGGGCCCTTGGAATCATAGGTCAGGGGTCCCGGCGCTTTTGTAACAGCCTGAACCATCACTGGTCTCCAGTCAAGTGCGGAGATCTGCGTTTTTCATTAGGGCCCCTTTCATTCAAAAGTCCCGGGCCTGGGTGCTCTTCCGAATTTCAAGGCCCATTGCACTCCTTGCAGTTCAAGACTGGGGCCCCAAGGTTACCTTTGAGGCGCCAATGCCGCTCATTTTGAAGTCTTACACATTTTCTTTTCCCTTGAGTGAAATTTTGTACATTCTTTTTAAGCCCTCGAGGGGGCCCCAGAGAGGTTTCTAGAAAATTGATGGTTGGGGATCCCCAACCGCCCACCCGGGCCAGTCCGCCCCTGTATCTAAAGAGTCTAAAGGGTGAAAGAACTCAGCTTTTTACCCGGAGAGACTCAAGGCCTTTTGAATTTGAGTAATTAGGTAAAAGATTATTTATTTTTAATGAAAAATTTTAATGAAAAGGGAAAGAGGTGTACTAAATTAATGGATAGGGCAAGCTAAGTCTCCAATGATTAGCAATTACCTGAGTCCTATAAATAAACTCTAAATGGATTACATTTTGCGATAAGGAACCACTATTTCTGGGCCCATTATAGAAATAGCACATATGCCATTGGTTTCCCTGTGTGGATAAGTGCTTTTATGGGAAAGCCAGAGATATGGGTCCTTATTGCAAAACGTAATCCAAATATGATATACAATTCGGATATCTAATATTGAAACACAACAATGTAATGTTCATAACGGGAACGTGAAAAACTGATCCTCTATTCGCGTACGATTCTTTTACATGATCAGGTTTAAGAAAAAGCAATTTTCCGTCTTCCCACCTTTCATCGACGGAATTCAAACTGGAATTTGAAGGTAATTCATCTCTCATGTTTTCTGTTCGTATTTTCTGATCCTATCCTGCTGTCTGCTCTTTGATTTTAAGATGTGCAGCAAATCTTCTCCATCTTAATGCCCCAGTTTTTGCAAATGTCTTTCCTCAAAACCCGTTTCGAAGCCGATCCCGCAATGACGCGTTTCCCCTGTTCGATAAACAGATTTCCTTGCCAATTCCTCTCTGGCAGTGAAAAAGTCGCTCTCAATAAGGGGAGACGTTCATCGAAATTGAATTAATTTGCTGAGCGTGACTATAAATTAGTGGTCAACAGATTACTGTGTCAGGCAGACAGATGATCGAAGTCATTGTTGCTACCTTGCGGGAGAAATCCTCTTAATTCTAATTGCCACGGATTGAAAAATCTGAAAAATAAATAAAAAACTGACAGCACCGATTGTGGCCAAAGTTTATATCGACGTTTCGGTTCCAACACGATTGCATTATTCATGTCTTGAACTTGTGAGAATCGCATAGCCTCCGTGAATGTCATGCGTGGATCGTCTCGAAAATATGCTTGAGGATCATAAGCATCTTACCAAATGGCCCAAGGAATCCTAAAAGGCACTTTTCGGAGGTTTTTGAGATACTTTTTACCATACGATCTACGAGATAGATTTGGTCAAAAATTCGATTCTTCAAGGCAAAAGATGGGATTTAAATTTTCTTTTCTCTACTTTGAGAGAACACGTAGTTTTCTCCCCCAGCATTTTGGTAAAATTAAAAGATTAAGTATCAGTTTTTAGGGGTGATTCAAAGCGCTCTAATTTTGTCAAAAAAAAAAACACACACACACACACACACACACAAAAACCAGGGACCAGAGCTTTTAAAGGGAGAAAGGGATTTAAGAGGTCTTAGAACCAAACTTTATAAAAAAAGACGATCAAAATTAGTAGTTGCAATATCCTAATTTGCATTATATGGGGAGTTAAAATGTATATTATTACTTCCAAGGCCAAAAATGAGGAGAGTGCCTAATATTACTCTCGTCCAAACATTTTTACCTGATTAAATCCAATAGCATTGTCATAATATGGGGAAAAAGAAGAATAAAAGGACGTAAACATTCGGAGATCTTAGCTTTGAAGAGAAACCTACGGTTGCTTTCGAAAGATCTTAGGAAATATGGTATTCCATGGAAAATTCTAATTTTAATCGAAAGTAGTTAAATAGAATCCGAAAATAGGAGTACTTGATTTTGACTCACCGTAAATATTAATTTGAAAGTAACTTACTTGGTTTCATTGGTCTTGCTGTCAGTGTAACTTGAGCGATAAAATCCTGCCAAGTCATCAGGCATAACGCCACTGAACGGTATAAAGAGGGAGTAATTTTGGCCGGCTTGCAACTTAGAGTCAGTTTGGGCGATGTAATATTCATTCTCTTTGTCGTATGAATGACTGACGATGTTGAATTTCTTCAGATTTTCAGGGTTCAGGGCCTGCGTAAGCGTCACATGGCTTTCATCTATCACGAGATTGTGTGAGTGGACAGCAATGCGGTCAGTTTCTTCTATGCAGGCGATCTGAAATTTAAATTATTTTTTAGATGATATTTTCAAAAATGGGTATGAAAAATGAGAAAATGGTGTATGGGGTAAAAATGAGAATTTTTTTTTTTTTTTTTTTTTTTTTTTTTTTTTTTTTTTTTTTTTTATAAAAATCGCAATTGGCTGGACCATACTCGGTAACCCGGAATCGATGTAACACATTTCCTGATCTTTTTATTTCATTCCTTCGATTTGTTTTTGTTTCTTTCCCTCATTTTGTTTATAAATGGACCACTATACGAGATGCGAATGCAAACATTTTAATGTGAACACGTTTTCTGACCACGATTTGTGCACCAAAAATGACTGAAATCAACTCTTGACCAAGATATCAACGTTTTTAGTTTGCACTGGTTACGGGAATTCGGAATTTCCCGCGCAGAAGAAAATTCATAGTCTACTTGAATCAAATACTGCAGTAGGTTGGTTTTGTCAGGCTTCTTAATCGCGCAAATGAAACCCCCCTCCCCCTCTTGCCTTGTACTGTTCAAAGTGTAAACAACATGCAACAGCTGCGCCGAAGTATCAAAGTAGGGGTTGTTATATTTTCATACCGAACAGACTGTTGCGGTAATATTTGGTGCACGATTTGTCTCACGTAGACTTTTGTTTTTTTATGGCGGGAGGTTTGAAATCACGCATCGAAAAACATAAAATATGTTGATAAGGAGTTAATTTCCGTAATTTTTATTCCGCAAAACGTGCAGTCATGATACGAAATCATGTATCAGAATGCTTGAATTTGCACCTTGTTCAGTGGTCCATTGTCCGATATTAGATATTATGTCACATCTTCAAATATGATCAGATTATTTATGTGGTGAGTTTTGATGGAATAGGGGGTTACGGAAGACATCCACAACCCACTATTATTATATTTTCTGTCTGGAATAATATTACGTAAAGGATGAAATCTTGCAAGTTTTAACACATTGTAATACAATTCCTTGCAGGTTTTAGCTTGTTGAAAATATTACAATGTTGAGTATGAAAAAACGTGGACATACATATAGGCAACGTCGCAGTCATAATGACACCAGAGTGAAGGACAATGCCAAATTACATTAGCAAACATTCATTCACCTCAAATGGGCAAAATGATTGCTCCAAGTCTTGTGGGGCAATGAAGAAAGTCCTATCGAGGATTCGCAGTTAGCTCATAGAGCGATCAGATCCTCTCATTGCAATTTTATCAATCACGGATGTGCAAGTGCTTTATGAAAATGTTTTTTTTGTAATTGTAAAGTATCATTATCACTGTCTTAATTCTGAGTAGATATTATCAATAGTCGTATATTTCATCTTCTTCCACAGTCAATTGCTTTTGGCTATGGATAAGATACAGCCCCAAGAGGCGTCCGCTAAGCCCCGCGAAGAGCCGTCGGGGGGTTCGGCCGCATAGTGGCCAGGGGACGTAGCCCCCTAGTTACATAAAAATTCACAGAAAATAATTTATGCGAGGAAAATGATTAATTTATTCTCAGTGATGCACCTCAATAAGAGCGCTTCCCCAGAACTTGAATTCGTCGGTTTCAAGTCCGGTGTTAATGACCAAGTCGTAGTGTCGGGGCTCCACTTTTCCATCGAGGCGATACGGAGGCAGATCTGCAGCTGAGCATCCCGTCGTACCGAGAATCAGTCCTATGATGGAGTAGATGAAGTATGTGTTCATGTTTCTAATTTACTGTTCCTCCTCTGAAACAGAATAGTAAGAACATATGAGGATAGTTGTCCTTCAACAGAAAGGGTTTCGCTTGATTTCACCCCTCAATGCAAAAAATGGGGGAAAACACTAAGCATCGTGGCCCGAACCAGGGTGGCATGAAAAGAAGAAACGATGATGGAAAAAGAAAAAGAAATGGATGGATGGAAGAAGATGAAATAAAAGATTGAAAATTTCAGTGAGAGATTGGATTTTTTTTTGAAATATTTCATGAAATTTCACGACGCTGTGGAATATTTCATGAAATATCACGACGCTGTGAAATATTTCATGGAATTTCACGAGGCTGTAACATATTTCATGTTTTTCAGGGGCTAGAGTATGCAACCCGCACTAAAACTCACAAAAATAGAAGAAAGTCACAATTTTTACATTTTGCGAAACATGAATAGGAACCGATATTTTTCAATATCTTTCATACATTTCTGAAATTTCATGAAATATTTTTCGTGTTCACGATTGTATTTTTCATGAAATTTTGCCACCCTGACCCGAACAGTTTGTAAGAGGGAGGTAAAATAGTGCTGACTGCTGGGTCCACACTATTTTGCGGGGTGTTCATAAAAATTAAAACTTTTTCAAACGAACCAAGGACACCAATGTATTTCTGCGAAATCAGAAATTTTAAGTCAATTCAAAGTATTGAAAACGGACTGTTGCGCCCGTCTTTTGGGCGCAGTTCAACACAAAATATATTTTGAAACACCTTTCAAAGTAAAATTTACAGCAGCTCTGGAGTAATAGCAATTTTTTCCTCCATACCCAACGCAATTTTTGACTAAATAGTTGACAAAAATGTCTCAACTCACTTACGTCATTGACCTCTTTCCGAGAGACCCAAAATTCGAACACCTTTTTTCCCGAACGTGAAAAAAACATCGAACCACGACAGAGATTGAAAAAAACCGATAAACGTTTTTGAATTTCTTGGAATTCCTTGGACTTATTTTTGCGACGGTTATGATTGGAGCTCCATTGCATGATGCTCTCTTGATGCACGCAACCCGAGTTGCTGACGCATAACAGGGGGCATTAAATTAGACAGCTGTTTACATCATTGGAGCCCGACGCAAGCACGGTTCACAAGTGCATCGATTTTTCATTGCTCATCGTTAAAAACGCACAGCCTCCAGATTTAACGAACCCAGGATAGAATCAGCCACATTAAGCACTATACAGGGTGATTCAGGGTTAAACGACCAGACTGCAGCGTGTTCTGTGTTGCCGTGTTAAGGAAGAACGCCGTATGAACATTTGAGAATTACCAAATTTCCTTCGACAAAACGTTGATTTTTTAGGAAAATTATGGATATTTTTCCTTTAAATTTTTAGGGCTCTTAGGTGAAATCGTGAGAAAAATTATCTGAAAAATTGGAAGGAATATATTCATGAATTTACCAAGAAATTCGTGTTTTATCGAAGGAAATTTGGCGACGTCTGAAGGTGAATATGGCGTTCTTCTTTTGTGCGGCAGTATGGGTCAAAATGAGACTTTTTTGTTGTACATTGAGATTTCGATTTTTTTAGATAATTTGGATTTCATTTTGCAAAAAGGAACCAAGAGCATCGTAATGTTGCTAAGATTTGTGCAACATCATCCTTTGCAATAAAAGTACTAAAATCCTGCAAATATATGAAATTTACATGATAATTTTTGTCTTAAATTAACAGTTTTTAGGGCGTAAAACAAAAACTGTTTTTAAATGATCAGGTTTTTCTTCCAAGCAAAAGAAGTTGCACGATTTTAGCAACATTGCATTGCTCTTGGTTCCTTTTTGCAATATACTTCCATTTATGAATTCAGAGCATGAAAGTAGAGGAGGTTACAAATTTTCATGGGATTTGGTTCACAACCGTTGTTGCCATAATTCAGGAAAAACGGTTTACTTTCCGGAATGGACCACTAGACTAGGTACGAATTTAAGCGATCTGATACATGTTTCTTAACCAGAATTTCATGTAGAACACGATTCACACAACGAAAATTACTGAAACCAACTCCTAACGAAGATATTAACGTTTTTATTTCACATTGGTTACGAGGAATTTGAACTGCCCGCTCACAAGAAACTCAAAGCTCTACGTTAGTCAAATCGCGCACTACAACGGTTTCAGCAAGCTTCTCAATCGAGCTATGTTCATTTCCCACCATGTATTGTTCAAACTATCAGCAATGTGCTATAGCTGAGCCAAAGCGTCAAGATTGAGGTTGCCAGGTTTTTATATCGCAGAGACTGTCATGATATAACGTTTAGCGCACGATGTGAATTACGTAGAGCATTGAGTTTTAATGAGCGGGTGGTTTGAATTCACGCATCAAGAATCATGAAATATCTTCGTAAGGAGTTGATTTCGGCAATTTTCGTTGTGCGCATCGTGTTCTACGTTAAATTTTGGTGAAGAAACATGTATCGGAATGCTGAAATTCGTACCTTGTCTAGTGGTCCATTGTGGGGGGCCGTAGCTCCGACTGGGGGCACTTTTGGAAAAAACTTTACACAACAAAAAAGTCTTATTTTGACCCATAAATCACGCTCCTGCAGTCTGGCTGTTTAACCCAGGATTACCCTGCATATGGCAAAATCAGTGACTATTCTCTCAAGGTGGCTACTTTAAATGAGATTGTTGTACACAAGCAACACAGGGAAATGAGGAGTTATTTCTGAGGAAAAATCATACAAAGATTCCGATGAGCATATCAAGACACTCTAAAATTCATTCCATAACACAGAATTAGCGCAGTCCGAGTCAAAAGTTATCAAAATTCCCGCATCTTTGGACACTTTTTCTTCGAATTTGGCAACCACGTACACCCAGAAAGAGGTTTTGGAGAATTTAACCCGTGATCGTAAATAAAATCTCGCGAACTGCTACCGATCTTCCTCGCATGTGGTTATTGTTGCCTTAAAGCACCTCTTTTCGCATCATCATATAGAAATGGAAGTAAAAACCAAATGCTTTGAAACGACTGAAATTAAAGTGTAGATTATTGTAGAAGTCTGCAAAATTGCTCAAAAATTTAGGTTAGGTTTTCTGAAATCCTTTTCTGACAAAACTTGATTGCCTACGCCCATGAAAAAGTGCCCACAAATGCGGGAGACTGATAATGCGTGATACAGGCTTGTATGTACTGTAATACCCCGGTATTCGCGACCCCGCCATCCGCGGATTCGCTTATCCGCGATCGAATTTTCGCGGCATTACCCCGCTATCCGCGACTCCGTGACTCGCTTATACGCGATTGGGGAAGAGAATCTTGAACCACGAATGAAATGACTGTGGGAAGGTTGTCATAGAAGTGAAGCACCAATTGATAAAGTTTTCCTTTTCCTATAACCTTACTTAATTATTTTACTTCAAATCATTCATATTGATTTGTTTTGTCACTCTAGTGACTTTTTTCCGCAAACCATAGGTGAATGTAAGCATTTTTCATTTGACATGTCCATTTCATTTTCCATAAGACCAATGCCCCCGTATCCGCAAATTTGGTATCCGCGGGGTTTTCGCAGCACGTAACCTTCGCGGATACCGGGGTATTACAGTATGGCAAATTGTGTGTATTTCAGAACTTTTCATCGTACTCATCGTAATTTTAGGGTAAATTTTTTGAGCAATCTGAAAAAATTCGGCAAAAAAGGGAACCAATTTGCACAAGGCAGTATGAGTGCCTTATCGAGGGGTACCTAATGCGGAAATACAGCTGTTATGTCAAAAGTGATGTACAATTGAACCGCGATAAGCAGAAAGGAACCAAAGCCAAATCAGTTATTGCTGAATTTAATTGAGCAATATAATTTTTTACATAAAAAAGTTTTGCAGATTTTTGTACTTTCAGTACCTTTTCTGCATGGTACACGAAGCATATTCCTTAAAATTTTCGAAGGACTTCGCACAAACGCTTTCTTGTAAAAAATTGAATTGCCCGATTAAATTTGACAAAAGCTGATGTTGCTTGGTTCCTTTCTGCTCAACGCGCTCCGATTTTCTGCCCTCCTTGTTCTCTAACAACTCTGGTTTTTCGCAAATGATATGAATTTCGCCGTATCAACAAAATCACGCTGTTCACTTTAAATGGATCCGTAAAATTTTGAAAAAACAAGAACGGCAGGACTGTCTGCTGCGGTCAGAAGCCACAAATCACGCAACGAATAGGATATTGACAACGCTGGAATGGATGCGAATTTAATTGCATCATATTTGCCGGTCAATGAAAACAAACGCAACTCTCTCCAAGCGGTCGCCCGGTTGGTCGGCTACCGATAGATCAACATCCAACACTGTTGACAGTTGTTTGCATAAACACGAGCCGCTATGAGCCGCAGACGATGTTAGACGAAGTGGACACATACCTGTCACTGCGCAACCTCTCCATCTGGAGACGCGCTTCCTAACTTGTGCGTTGCCACGTTTCTCCACAAGTAATTCAAAACGTGATTGCAAGGTCATGAGAATACACCTCGTCATAAAAAAAAGAAAAAAAAAGAAAAAAAAAAGTAATGAGAATTCCAATTTTCCGGCGTAAACATGTACGCCGGACCATAGCATGCTAAGCTCTGCCATTTTTACCATATATTTCGGTCCTGTTTGAGGAAGGAGATGTTATGGGTCTTACTTGTATATTCAGATAGAATCAGGAATGGGGATGTTGCATGTGTGAGGGATTTGCGATTTGACTGTTGATTCTTTTGTAAAAGTTCACGAGAAACACGATGGTGCCACTAGTTTTCTCTGAAATTAACTCCCAAGCTCAAGTAAAGCTCTCAAGTTGGGGTCAAAATGGAGGGGATATCCCGCGCTATCCTGAGAGTCCACCTCTACATCAAAACAAACTCTCCATGCAAAGATGGGGAGCAAATACATTAGCAGGGTTGCCGTGTTTTCAGATTTGGAGTCCCCAAATAAAGTGGCAGCCCTGTCAATGTATTTACTCCCTATCTTTGCATGGAGAGTTTGTCTTGATGTAGAGGTG